TTTTTTTAAGTTTTAGTCTTTATTTTCTTCATATTTAAATGTATTATTCTGGTAGCAGGAACAAAAACAATGTCGCTAAGCCTTGTACTGTGTATGATCGTGTATGTGACAAATAAAACAATCTTGAATCTTGAATCTCTTGTATTGTGTGTAACTTTCTGACCTGAACACAACAGTTGCTATTAAATGTAAATAATGTTTTGATCACCGAAGTTAAATAAAACTAGCGTTAACTGTACTTAAGTACAGTTTCACTGTGTGGTAATCTCAGTTATACAAGTGTAAAAAAATGAGTGTAAAAAGAATTTCCCCTTGTGGGATAAATAAAAGGAAGTTTAAGTTTTTAAGTTTAAGTTTAATACACAGGAAGAGTTATTTATTTATTAGGGGGATGAAAATCTCAGCAATTATTCAAATGCACGATAAACATTTCATTCACAATGAAACTTTATTTCTGAAAATCTATAAACCGAGTTGCTTTTTAAGATGTTTGACTCGACTGTGTGAATGTCAGGTCAGTAATACTGAAACAGGTGGACATACTTCGACAGGAAAAACTGAAGTGATGAAATGAAGTGTGTCAGGAAAAAGTGTGTCTGATTGATTTGACTGATTCTCGTCCTCAGAAATATGAACTGATCAGACCCATCACGAGGAGACACGCCTTCACCTGATCGATCATCGATGACTCTGAACATTCATGAACAATCGTCATGGGATAATTTCTCATCATTGACAAACACCAACAAAGACTTTAAACCAAACACCAAAGTAAACACGACCACGTCCGGAGCTGTGCGCGCTCCCGCGAGGTACACGCTGCCCACGATCCTCGGCGGGTGGGCAGACCTCGTGACACCACCGGAAGTAACCCGGAAGCTCCTTCCAGAGGTGCTGTGTGGATGTCGAGCTAGAGACTGTTTGTTTTTGCTAACACGTATTCACCTGTAAGCTGGTCTGTCAATAAAACGCCAGAAGAAGAAGAGGAGCTCAGACACTGTCCGCGTGTTTACGATCAGACAATGGATTCAAGCGACTAAGATGGAGAGTAAATAGCAGCGTGTTGTGTCAGAGCCGCCGCACCCTCAGGTTTGTTTGTCTCTTGTCTCGGAACAGGAGACATGCGCCGGCGTGTTGTTTTGCAATTGGCCGCCATCACCCTGTGTATCATCCAATATTAAGCGCATCTCGCTGAACCAGTCTGCTGGACTCCTCAGAGACTGATCCTCCACAGTTGTTGTCCATTATGTGTCACCTGCAGCTGAGGACGCTGGTCTTCGCAGCCTGGGTGGTGGGCTACGTCGCCTTCCTGCTGTCCGTCCGGAGGATGTGGACGGGGAAGTACGTCCGCAGTCCGCTCGTCCGCTCGCTGTTTTCCAACATGGTGAGCGAGGGCGACGCGGCCGCCGCGGACACTCAAGAGGTACGAAAGACTGACGAGCGGCGCTGGAGGAAGTTTGCATGGTCACACTTTGTTCCCCGATTGGACAGACTCATTTCATTTGGTGCCTCCACGGAGACTAGAGACTAAGACATGTGTGCATTCCTGCAAATAACCGAACTCAAAGGTTAGACTTGCCGATATTTTCAATGGGATTTGGCACGAGGCTAAACATACTGGTGCAAATGTAGACATGGTTTGACATTTCTGTACTTTAGTTTATTTTTACTTAACCACTATGGGTTAGGGCTGTTTGGACCACATTTACAATGCCATCGACATTGTCTTTTTTTCAGTACAGCATTGTCTATAGTACATCAACATATTGGACACAAAAATACCCAAAGTTAAACTTTCCTATACCAAAGTTGTATAGTTTTTACTGTAAAAACCCCAAACTTGCTCAACGAAGCATTTTCAAAGTTTAAGATGTAAATGTTGCTTATAAATGTGAAGATGTAATAACTGATTGAACATCAAGTGCTATACACCTGTTTAAAATAAAAAAAGCAGTTGTGGTTTGCTGTGCAACTCCTCAAAATAGTGTGAGTGCCCAGTCAGACAAATAGGTCCATCACTATTTTTGTATTCCCAGGATGAGGGGAGTTCCCAAGTAATGCAAATATAACATATAAAAGGTCAAACGCTGTGTGCTTTCATGGTGTGCGACTCATTTGTTGTCCACCTGTTCGAAGCAGTCTCGAAGCAGCCACGTCTTCAAATCACACCGGTGTTATCAGCGACTCCTGAGGGTTAATAAACACTGATGCTAACATTTAACATTGTACCATCCTGACTGATTTCTTTCTCTAGCCTTACTGGGTATATATTCAATAAAAAAGCTGAAATTCAGTCATGGAATGGCGACTAATTATTATTTTTTTCTTCTCTGAAGTGGTACCGGTGCTCCCCTGACCTCCTCGCAGAGTCAATGAGGCCCCTGTTCGTGCAGAGCCACCTGGACTCGGACACCAAGGCCTTTCTCAAGCGTAGTGTGGAGAAGTCTGGCTGGCTGTTCACTCAGCTCTACCATTCCCTTGTGTCGACGGTCCTCAGCCCTCTGGTCTCACGCACCTCCATCAATGGGTCAGCAGTGCAGCCACTTCTCTGCCTCACTGACTGTTTCATCAGTCAGTGTATCTTCATGCGGTGCGTGTTTTCTGTCTCAGGTTTCTGGGCCGTGGCTCCATGTTTGTGTTTTCCGCGGCACAGCTCCAGCAGCTGCTGCAGATTGAGCCGGAGTGGAGGGCAGAGAGGCTCCTGGACCTCGGAGCTGGGGACGGAGGCGTCACAGAGGTGATGGGGACCCATTTCAAAGAGGTCTATGCAACTGAGGTGTCACCACCCATGAAATGGCATCTACAGAGGAGGAATTACAAGTGAGTAGGCTACTTTGATTTTGTTTGGTTTCTCTTTCAAATCTTGAGCCGTATTAAGTTACTTAGTTTGGTACTTTGTGAACAAATTCAAAATTGTATTTGAAAAAGCACCAGTAACTATTTATATATATAAATATATATTTACTATTGCGATCTATTGTTTGATCTACATCTTAATTTGCTGTTCATGCAGTTTGCACAAAATACAAATTTACAGCTACCTCCATGCTTACCTGTCGTCTTGATGTACTGAACTTGTTTAATCCGCATAATAGCTGAATCATGTTGCATTTATTGCTCTCTTTTTTTTTTTTAATAGAACCACATTTTTTTATTCTATCATTAATCAACACATAACACCCTATCGAATGTGTAACATTAATATATAGGAAGGCAAAATAAGTCTTTTCACAATATCATGATAATGCTGAAGACAGCAAAGTAAGTTGCAGGGTTTTCAGATGTTCAGTTAAGTGTTTCTCTGCCAGCTATGGCCAGAGCACTAGCAGCTCCCCTGTCACTGCCAGTCCCCCCCCCCCAACCCCAGATCCACCAGCCCCTCTCAAGCAATTATCGGACTTTGTCCACTTGTCTGCTTCGGGTTCGAACTTTCTCCAGCGTTTGCCTTTTGCATATGAAGAATGTAGGAGTAAATTCTCTGCTTAGATGCATTCACAACAGAAAAACCTCTTGAGCGTTCACATGTCAAGGATGTATCCCGCCTCCTGCTCCAACCTCCCCTGCGTCCCTCAAATGAGCTGTGTTCAAGCTGAAGGTTGGAACGACATTCCACAGCACATCATACTGTCTGGGCTCAACTGCTTTGAATTTTTATGTCTCCTAAGGCCGGGATGGCTGACATCATCATGACAATGTTGAGCCCAGCATCATGATTTATTACCATCACAGTTTTTATTTTACTGCTGGAATCAGATAGAGAACGCTTCTAACCACAAATGCCTCTCTATCTCTCTCTCCTGCTGTCGTGCTCAGAGTGCTGGGTATAGACGAGTGGCAGCATACTGGTTTCCACTATGACGTCATCAGCTGTTTGAACCTGCTGGATCGTTGCAACGATCCTCTGCATCTCCTGCGGGAAATCAAGCGCTCGCTAGTTCCCAACACAGGGAGACTCATCCTGGCTGCGGTGCTTCCCTTCCAGCCATATGTGGAAGTCGGTGAGTTGGGATTCAGTGCATCATATTCCAAACGAATAGTGAAAGAAGTCACTGTATCAAATTACCTGCATTGCTATCAATGAACATACTTCTTTCTGTGCAGGAGGACAATGGCAGCGTCCGGCAGAACACCTCAAAATAAAAGGCAAGACGTGGGAGGAGCAAGTGACCAATCTGTCGGATGAGGTGTTCAGAAGGGTGGGGTTAGAGGTGGAGGCGGTGACCCGGTTGCCATACCTATGTGAAGGGGACATGTACAATGATTACTACGTGCTTGACGATGCAGTTTTTGTTCTCAAGGCCTCAGAGAAGAGTGAAGAGTCTGCTCAGTGAAAACCAAATCCACTGCGCGGCTGAGGCTCTCAACTTTATCTCGGATGGGTTTAGTGCAATCTTCACAAGCTTCATTTGTAAAATATGATATTTCTGATTTGCTCAAACAGTGTGAGTCAGACGTGAAGCTCAGGTTCTTTAGTTCCTACGTTTACCAGCCATCTTGTGTGACAGTGATACCTCTACCTTTTAAGCAAAAAAAAAAAGTGAGTGGCAACTGACTGCTATTGAAATGCCACAGAAGATCAGATCCTCTCAGACATATCACCATGTTGTAGATGTTTATTCAATTAAGGTCTGTCATTTGTGGGAAGTGTTTACTGTAAGTGTTTCCTTCTGTAATGATACTGGGAAGAATCGTGGTTGAATTAATTAACTCTGCATCTGATGCAAAGGACCAGTGTATGCACAAATGTGGGGAGTGGAGCAACTTGTGTTTTAATGCTACATTTTAAACTTGATTCGTGATAACAGGTGTAATATGAGGCCTTCTTAAAGGGAGCCTGTGTAACTTTAAACAGCAGTTACTGCAGTCACAGGTCACAATGACTGAGTTGTATTAGATGTGTGTGTGAAGATGTATTAAGTTGTTTCTTTGGCCATTTGGTTTCCACCAACTACTGAGAAACATATCTGGCTCTTGAGCTACTACTGCACTGTTCACTACATCGCTGCTAACATGGTCTGCCTGTCAGTTTAAGCTGAGATCAGCTCACAGCTGTGGCTGGAAATTACCTTATTTAGAGTAGTGTTGTGGGCTGGAAAACCAACAACAGTTCAAATACAGCTATTATGAACAACTTTGAAATTAAATGAACTCTCTGGATCCATTGCTTATATGCAAAATACTGTTAAGTTTAACTTTCATGGTGAAACATTGTGTAACCATACCACAAGTGGAAAAAAGCCATAAAGGCAAACTTTACACAGTAATATCTAACCACAGTTTGCTGACATTAACCAGTTTTAACTTCCAGAACAAGTATGGCTGTCGCAGCTAATCTTTGAGTCAATTCCACTTAAAGCAAAGGTGTGTCTGTTTTTATGATTCGTTTGTTTTTTTTATTTATGAGAGGAAAAAAATATTCATCAAAAAAGTTACATGGTCTCGCTTTATTAAATCAGTGTTGTTGTGTGTATGTTACTGCACAGCGAATGCTTTGGAATTGTGCCACAATGAATGCAACATTTTTATTGTCTGATATGATGATAGCTCAAGAATAAAAACTACATTTCATTATGCATTTCTCAGCTCTTGTTTGTCTGTGTGACGAAGTGAATGTGAGGTGTCGTGCTTCACTTTCACTCAATGATGTGACCCAGAAGTTAGAAAAGTCAAAACACAATGATGTGTATTGTGTGAGCAGTTCCTACTTTTAATAGCTGTGTCACACTTACTCTTACATATTACATGGTGGCACTTGCGAAAATCACCCAAGCCGAAATGTCAGAAGTAGAATAGTTACTTATACAACAAATACTATACTTGAAGGTTTTAGTTTTATCATGTTCACGTGACATCATGTATTGTCTCCACATAGCTGTTTTTTTAAAATTGCAAAATACAAAATTCAACAGGCAAAATCATTTACAACAATATAAGTACATTTAATTTAAATACACATACATATGCACAAGCCCCAACATTATATGTGAGACATTTCAAAAGGAAAATGAATTGATTTTTTTAAATTTAAAGTAATAATAAATAAAATTAAAATTGGGTAAAATCTAATTTACCTTCAGCCCACCTTCATATTATATTAGTTAATAGAAGTATTATTTAATTTGAATTCTCTGCCCTCCATTATGAGAGCAGCACTAGTTTTACTCAAGGTTAAAGATCACATATCTATGGTGAGTTCATTTACTGGTGCATTTCCTTGTACATGGCAGCTGTGTGCAGTGAAAAAAAAACGAAACCCGGAATTACTATCTTTTCCACGTAGCTTGAACGTAGCTTCGCGTATGCAAACGCCGCTTCCCTCTTCTCTGATTGGCCGAGCGCTCCCGGTGTTTCCCGTCTCCCATTGGCCGCCGTCGTCTTGGCCACTTCCCCGGGCCACGTCGCGCTTTCCTCGCCATTTTCCCGTCGTGTGGAGCCGCAATCGCCCCGAGCTGGTGTCACGGTGTCGTCCAGCGCTGTCAGCTCCGCAACCCAACAGCCGCCGGAGACGAGCTGAGCTCTGAGAAGGGGGTCTTAAACGTCGGTTCGCCTCAGCCGGAGCTCACAACCAACATGAACATCTTCAGGCTCACCGGTGATCTCTCCCACCTCGCAGCCATCATCATCCTGCTGCTGAAGATATGGAAAACCCGGTCCTGTGCCGGTGAGTAGTCCGTGCACGTTCTCCCGTAGTGTGTCTGACCTCCTGTGTTGCACGGGATGCGCCCTGACGTGGACGCGAACCCCCCCCCCGAACAAGGTCTGTGCTGCGAGGCGACTTCTCCTTCTGCCCGTTAGCCCCGGTTCATGGCTAACGCTAGCTAACCGGCTACACCGCGAGTGTCCTGTCATCGAATTTGAAGACAGCCACTCTGACATCGTCACTGTTGCTGCTACTCACACGACGACGCGTGATGTGAAACTCGATAAACACTCTTTGCAGCGGAGAAGCAGCTGTTTGCGCGTACCATCCAGCTGCAGCTGTCTTGCTAGCTAGCTTTGACAAGGCGGAGGGCCCCCGCACCAAGTTTAGGGGTAGAGACGAGGGGACCGGAGGGCCAGCGCAGTTTAACACCCAGGGCCTTGTCATTTTTCCGCGGGGGTGAAGTACTTGCACGTTGGCCCCTTGTGCTTCGTTATCCGGCTGTGAGCTCTCTGACGTGGCAGCCAGTCCACAGTTGCATTGCTTCCCCGTTCGCCCTGCGAGCAATCAGCTGCTGCGTTATCCTGAGGGATCTGCTGTGTTTTCATGGCTCCTGTCAGCGGTCAAAGGTCAGTTCCGTGCCTCTGCAAGACTCCATTATATCATTACTGCTGTTTGCTTGAGATTTGACCTGATAGCTCTGCAGGAGAGTCCGTTTTGTTCGAGATCTGAGGTGGTTGTCAAAACCGGAATTCTAACAGTGACGGCCCGTAAACTGGCGTATCGTTATCAACACTTTCAGGTGACTAATAACGAAGCGATCGCTGATCACTGCCACTGTGGGTGTGACCGTGGAGAGCGTGTTGTCACTTGCCAACGCACCAGATCGACAGCAGGTTGAAGTCTGGCGTTGCACGGAGCAGACACTGAGCAGACACTCAGTGACTGCCAGCCTCTTTACATCAGGCTGCAGTCAATCAAACCCATAATCAAACAGTTTGCTTATGGCTTTAAGTTTTGCTCTCTTAGTCTTGCCCCCTGGTGCTTCATGTGTTTCATCTGTGCACAAGCTGAACGTCGGTGAATGATTCTTTTTTTCATCCTTTGCAGAGTTGAAGTGAGCAGGTGGATGTTAATAGGAAATAGTAGAGAGTTATAGATCAGTGTAAGTTTATTCTAAGTTACTGTAAATTATTGTATTTTGTTTGTGATGTGAGCTTTGTGCCTTTAGAACTTTCACAAATAAAATATAATAATGCCTGAACAGTTGGAGTTGAATGGAGACAAGACACCTGAGATCAACTGCAAAATTGTCTTGGTGGAAGGGACTGTCCTCAGGAGAAGAGTGCCAGATTCCAGCACATTACATGTACCCATTTCTTTTCAGGACATCAAAATGTTTCAGTGCCCTCTGCTGTCCCCTGACAGGTATATCTGGAAAGAGTCAGGTCCTGTTTGCCTTGGTGTTCACCACTCGTTACCTGGACCTGCTCACCTCCTTCATCTCCCTCTACAACACCACCATGAAGGTGAAACACTCAACTGTCATTCGAACATCCTGTCGTATTTATTTTCTTCCCAAGCACTAAACACACAGGGTCGATGCTGACACACCTGTGTTTGCCAAAGGACAAAGCCCGTCGAGCAAGATGCAGCAGATTTGCATGTGTTGTCACTGCTGTTTGAATGTGTTCACGGGAGACCATTAGATATCTACCCCAGCGGATGCTCACCTTCTTATGTTTTGGTTTTGTCCTTATCTTTCAGGTCATCTACATTGGATGTGCGTACGCCACCGTGTACCTGATCTACGTCAAGTTCAAGGCGACTTACGACGGGAACCATGACACATTCAGAGTGGAGTTCCTGGTTGTCCCTGTTGGTGGCCTGGCTTTTTTGGTTAACCACGACTTCTCTCCCCTGGAGGTCAGAAATGACCACACAAAAACACCCCCATACCCTTTTCATACAGCACAGATGCATATGTCTCTGAGTACACATTTAACATCCAAAACAGTTGCGCACCGATTTTCATCACATCATTATCAAATAATCAAGTTTCATTTTCAATTCTGTCACTTCTTCTATTTAAACAGCAAGCATTATAATATAACTAGGAGGTCCAATGATGCAATGAACTCATATTTAGGTATATGTATATATACATGGTGAAATATGTGTTTCAAAGCTAGTAGCATTCATGATGGTTAGAGTAAATAACTAACCTTCTTTGGTCAGTTCTTGACATATTGTTTTTTATTTGACATTTATTGTGTTGGTTTGATATGACCCTACTCCACTTCACTACTCCCCCTCTAATCTTCACTCTGAACAGGCGAAAGCACTTTTTTTTTTACCAGTAGCTTCCATTAGCTTCACATCAGTTGCACCAAGTAGGAGATAAGTATTAGATATTTGAGAGGCAATAATAAATAATTGGTTTTGAAATCCACTTCACCAAGTGATGATGTGTGTCTGCTTGCATCATTATAAAGTTTGCACAGACAGACAGCTGGTGCAGCCGTCTCTGAGCGTGACTTGTATTTTAAACTTCCTTTATTGAAGTGGAACAAAAACCTGACCTCACAGCGTGTATTTGTTGCTCTGTGCTTAAAGAAAAGGAGGTGCACTGGGTTTTAACATGTGCTTAATCAGGGAAACACAGCTATATATATATATATATATATATATATATATATATTTGACCTCAATAGGATCTGGCAAAGTTGCCCTCCAGTGGCACATTTTTCTGTTGGAAATCTTTGCAAATATATGTGAAGTCATTCTAATCACTGGTGGTTGCTGTAGTCAAATTACACGTCAGCTCTTTTATCTTCCCAACACTATCTCCTCCTCTCTCTGTTTCCCAGATCCTTTGGACATTCTCCATCTACTTGGAGTCGGTGGCCATCCTGCCCCAGCTCTTCATGATCAGCAAGACTGGCGAGGCTGAGACCATCACCACCCACTACCTGTTCTTCCTGGGACTCTACAGAGCCCTCTACCTCATCAACTGGATATGGAGGTTCTACTTTGAGGGATTCTTTGACATGATCGCCATCGTTGCTGGAGTGGTGCAGACCATCCTCTATTGTGATTTCTTCTATTTGTATGTAACAAAAGGTGAGTGCCGCTGCTTTTTCGTCTAATTTGATAAAGCATTGTAAAAACGTTTTGTGTTGCCCTGTTAACTGGTTAGGTTTGAAGTAATGCTGATTTAGAGGTAACACAGCCATCAATAGAAAAACATTGTAGTATTCGGTGAGACAGAAATCACTCTCAGTCAATTGTCCAGTCGAAGACCAATGTTATCTTAGTGTTTTACTATACTTGAAATCAAAATGCATTTTATTCCAGTGTGCGTATCAATATTTTAATTTTTAGCAGATTGTTCTGCAAGTGAATTAGTCATCAGAACAAATGTTATGTTCTGATTGTGAGAGTCCCCGACATACCATATTTGAATTGGATTACTTTTTCCAGGGTTCTGCCTACTATAGTAACATATTTCATGTTTGAACTTTTTGGAAGCTTCGTTGGTATCAACAAGTCATTATAACGCTCGTTGGAAATAAACAGCTCTCTGCAAGTAGAACACATCAAAATAAGATACGATGCAGATGTTCACTGCCATTATTTGTGTAAGTCAAATGAAGTAATTTGCCACAGAAAATTCATATTTATTTAAAAAGAAGACACCGAGTTCAAGGAACCAGAGATGAAGAGCAGACGTGTGTGAGGAAAAACCAGAGACTTTATGATAAAAGGTTTTTGCACCCATCGCCTAATGGTATTCAGCTCTGCAAACAGCCCTGACTAATGTAGTGAAAACATTCGATTTTTCCCTCCGCCCTAATAGAATGAAGCTGATTGAAATTTTAAAAAAAGTTGCTACTCGAAGAAATATTTTTCCTTGTTACTGTGAGTAATCCAGAGAACTCACTCAAATACTGTTTTTACCAAAGAAATGGTCCCTAAACTAGTGTTTTCCTCACACACACACACACATATATTTACACACACCCCTGAACTATCAGCTTGACTATATTAGAGACCAAAAGTAATAAATGTTTATTTTGGTGAAACCACCCTTTAAGATATAGTGCAAACTCCACTGTGAAACAGTAAGTAAAGTTTGTGGAGTGTGCAGGCCCAACACTTTGTATTTTTGTTGTTATAAATGCTGTTCACGTGTCATGTGGTCATGTTAAACATAAACCGGCCCTGTCTCATTTCAGTACTGAAAGGAAAGAAGCTGAGTCTGCCAGCCTAAAGTGCCAAAGAGGAGTGTTTTGGCAGACTCAAAGCGGGGGGACTGGGAGGGGAGGTGGAGTGCTAGTGGACACCTCCGACACCCCACCCCACTCTCCAACCACCACCACCACCACTTCCTCCTCTTCCCCTCCCGCCAGAGTAAGATGCCTGAGACAGAGAGCGAGTGGGAGCTGCTGACTGCACCCTCTTCTGATCCAAAGTCAGTGGAGTCGGAACACCTGCAGAGGCTGCTCCGTGGCCTTTGGATTTCTGTTTGACGCATCTTGCCTTAACTGTTTTTTTATTTCTCTGTATAAAGGAAGAAGAAAAGTTTTCTACATAAAAAAATGCGTACTCTGAAGATTTGACACATTGGTGAATAAGAGCTGAAGATACAAAATTGCCTATGATTTGGCATTGTGTGATACTGAGGCGGACTTCTTGTGGTGGGATATAACTGACTTCAGCGTTTGTAATAGTATTTGCAATTGAAATAAATGTGCTTTTGTTTTTCCTGAATCACTTTGGGGAGGACTTTGTTGAATCCTCGTAACTTTGGTGGGCAAGTCATTCACTTTCTAATCTGTATGCATTCCCATGTATCAAGATTATTTCTTTTAATTTTCCTTGATGCCCTGTGGAATATAAATCTTAAAATGGATGGTTTAATTTACCGATTTTCAAAAACAAAAAAGGAACACAGCCGTTACTTTTAAGTTTTAAATTTTTTGCTCAGATTCCTTCAAATTTAATCAGTATGCATTGCTGCTGTGGTATCTACCATATTGAGCAAAGTACCCTGTAGTGAAATTCACAAAATGAAAGCAAATGGTTGAAAAGGACAGCAATGTACTGTCGTCACTGTAAATGGCATTCTCCATTTGTAAAGTCACTTCATTACCCAATAATCACCTGTAATTATAGTTCATTCCCCAGCCTATTTTATTTAAATGGTTATTTAGATATTTGAGATGCGTAAATTCACAGGTAATGTACTGTAAGTGAAGTATCACTACAGAGATCTGATTTTCTTTTTTCGTTTTAGGTGCAGATGTATTTATTTTTTATCTTCCTTATTTCCATCAAACAGAGTCCATAGAATTGTCCACATGCTGTGCATATTTTGAACCCTTGGAAATGACTCCTTGGGGGTGGGGGTAGACGAGAGGCACAATCTTTACAGAAGACAAGAAAAATCCTTCTCAAGACACGTGTGCCTCCATTTTAGTTTTTATGCACATCATTCCAAGTTTCCTTTTTGATCCATCACCAGAGCTTTTGCATGATGTTGCCACCACAAATAAAGACTTACTGGGAAATATCTGTCTGCTGTGTTGACAATGAGCTGGAGTAGGATGAGCATGTTTGTAATGCTGCAAGTGACACGCCAAAGGCCAAGTGCTCCCTCAAGTGGTACGAGACTGACGTTTCAGGACCATTGTTAGTTAAAGGGGGCATAAAAATGAAATTGAGATTGGACCCTGGTCAGGACAGGATTGGATGACATCACTGTGGGAGCTGTCGATCATCTGAGACAACCCTGTTGACCTCTAATGTTAAATTTGACTTAAAGGTAAAGTGTGTAGTGTTGTCATAAAAACTCAAAAGGTCTGGACTAATGTAAAAAACATGGTGGATTTAAATATAAAGGGCCTTTTCTGGGGTGAAGGAAACTACAATTCATACAATTTAGATGAAACGAACTAGTGAAAACATCATGAGGATTATTCTACATTACATTTCTGCCAATAGATCCCTTTCACCTAAATCTTACACACTGGACCTTTGAAATGTTAAGGATTCAACTGATACTGTTAAAAAAATCCCTTTGCTTTCAGTAGGCTCTCATTTATTTAATTTTCTAGTATACAAGGTTTAAATAAAGTTGGGGAAAAAAACACAACCCGGAACAAAAACAACGTCGGACCAATAGAGCTTCAGTCACATGCAACATTTAAAACTGACAATAAAGAGAAGAGAGATTTCCCATCGATTAATGAATGATCTCCTGTTAACACGAGTGCGGCGAATCAACAAGATGGGGGATAATTCAAAAGGAGACCGTGAGTAGCCACTCACCAAGAAGCACTGGGAACACTGTTCGCTAGCTTCGCTGAGCTAACAGTGGAAACTGTTTACTGTTGTTGAAGCACGTCAGTGTCAACATTGTGAGCCAATATTAGCATTGAGCCATACTCCGGGGACCTGTGATTATAAATGGCCAGGAACACACGCCCTCTTGTTTATATCGATAGCTTACATTGATTGTTAGCAAACATTTCCCCCATTCATATGAAATGCTAATATAATTTGTGTGAAACAGGACCAGGAACCTCACAGTCAATGGCTCAGCGTGGCAGTGATGGCAGAATATATGATTTAGATTTTTTTATTCAGTTATCAATCAATTCACATCGTATTAATGTTATGAATATAAGTTCTCTTTGGAGGAAATCCCACAATTCTCCATAGAATCAGAATTAGAATATACGTATGCGTAGGAACAATATATCATGCAGCTTTAACACAATTGCAAGAAAGCTACTTTTGCAGAAGAATGGTTAAAAGATAATGTGTTGAATTCAAAATGACAAACAGCAACCTACTAATTCCTCAAAAATCTAGCTGTCATACTGTGGAACACATATCTCACAAACCGTTATCAGCGTTTCAGCTTCACACTTAGCATGTGCATTGAAAATTGCCCAAGGAAGAGCAGGGTCGAATTTGGTGAGATTTGAACATGCGATGCATTCAGTATTAATAAAACGTATATAATAAATTAGATTGAGTTTCATTTTATGAAAAACATTGTCTATAAAGTCTTCACTGCAGATAAACCAGGTAGGATGAAGACGATGACCACTCTGCACCAGAGATTGTATTAAAAAAAGCTCTGCACACAACGTCCAGCATGGAAACAATACAAAGTGAGAGTATGTTATAGGTCTGTTTGAGTAGGGCTTACTAAGAGTGACTGAAAAAGCTCTGACAGAAGCAAAATGCACAAATGCAAATATGAACCAGAGGTTGAAACCGGTTGAAACACAGACAGAAGTTGAAGTGAAAGCTGTTTTAGCTGCTGCTCTCAATGAAATTGAAAGTGAGTGTTTTGCATATTATGGAAGCTCAGAGTTGCAGCTGAGACGTCCTTTGAAAACACATAAATGTTCCAGTTTGATTATGTTTACACAGTAGTCAGGTCCAAGTTGTGTGAGTAATGATTGTTTTTGGACTATATGACCGAGAGTCAGTATCTCTAGCGTGTCTGTGTCAGTTTCTGCTGTTCTGTGGGCAGATTATGTGTTTTGTTAATGCTCCAGCTGATACGATGTCTTTTAAAAACAAACGGCCCAAAAAAAGAATGTCACTAAGTACTCAGCACACAAGGCCCAACAGTCCCTTTATGAGACCACATATAAATTCACTAGATCCAGATTTTTATTTGTATCTGAACCAAATTTCACACACCATAAATATCTGTCCTTTAAACTTGCTGCTTTTATTCGTCAAACAAGTGCAGGCAATAATCCTTGTGTGTTAAGATGAAGTGCTTTCATTTGCGCTCAGGTACCCGCCCTACTCTCTCTGCTCTGCGCCTCCTCGTCTCTCCGATTCGGCTGGTCACAGCAGCAGTCTGGCAGACCATCCAGCAGAAGGTCGTGGCCAATTATGGGATGCTCGAGGAGTTTGTTTCCATGGTCACAGACATCGTACCGGAGCTGCTCACCACCCGCCAGAAGGTCCAACTCACCCTGGGCCTGAGAGCACGTGTGAGAAGGCGTAGTATAGCCACTTACTAGTAACAACTAATATCTACCACAAGATACCTGCTGTGTTTGTGAACTTAAGATTTTCTTTAATACATATGACAAATTGTCTCTCTAGACCCACTATGTTTTCTCATCATTTTGTTGACCTTGATCTTTGACATGTCAGCTCTAAATGTTAATCATTCTAGAGATACCTTCCTAAGTTACAATTCCACTAAGTTTGGTGATTATCCATCCATTTTTTGTATTGTACACACATACACTCACACACTCTCACACAGAGGGGTAAAAAAACAATATCCTGTACCACGGTGCTCAGTTTAAATCATGGAATTTAGATTTTTGAAAATTGGTTTGGTGGAAGTGTTAACCTGTCACTGTGATTATATTTGTGTCCTTTTAGCTGGTCCTGGAGTTATGTCAGTTTGAAGCCACCCCTGATTTCGAGGCTGTTCGGCCGCACCTGGACAGGATGCAGAACCATATCGAGGCATGGGTTGTGGAGGTGAGTTCAATGCATCTTTATTTCAAAATGTATTACAGTTTAATGTAAAACAGTTTTTACAGTTTATTGGAAATAAGCTTTTAAAAGTGACCATACCATTCAAGTTGATGCTGTAATTGGAATGTAACCATGGCGTTGAACTTGAATGATGCTTGTGTCGTGTCTGGCAGGCTGGAGCCACTAATGAGGAAGTGCCAAACTCAGACTTTGTGGATGTTGTTAAGACCATACTGAAAGATCCAGAGAAGAGGGAAGACTTCTTTCAGGTCAGTGTTACTGTTGAACATGTACAGAACATAGAGTGCTACTAATGTGTATAGAAAAAGCCATCTGATAGTAGATTTCCTTTAACAATATAACAATTATGTAGACATGTCATCATCACATTTTTTGGGGGTATGTTTCTGTTCTGGTGGATCATAATTTATTTGGATTTTACTTTTATTTTATTTTATCAGTGTTGTAGGTAGACCATAGAGACGGACGGTCATTCTCCACCTGATTATCACTAAAGAGAAATATTCCAAAAACGAACACTGCCATTTTGTACCAAAACCATCATTTAGAGGCAGAGTCTACATCGTACTGCACCACAGTATGGTTGTCCCTCCGATACATGCCTCAGACCAATCACAAGTCAGTCTCAGCTGTCAATCATGACATTTCATAATAAGAAGCTTAAGAATATCTACTGCACTTGAACAAACATCAGTGTGATAAGAACTGTCTTATATGACAAAAATCATATTTTTGAAAAATATACTTGAAGTGTACTTAAACTTCTTAGCTTGATCCATGTCCCATCCAATAACATGGAGGAGGCAGGGTTTATGGCCTATACTGCAGCCAGCCACCAGGGGGCAATTAAGAGGCTTTGGCTTCACTTTTGGGGAGCTGTTATGTCCTCCATCTTCATTTATAGTCACTGAGCTCGACATTTCGTTAAAAGTCCAACACACTTCCATCCAGATACAGATGAAGTAATAACATGATCAGTATTCAGTGTAAATTAAAGCTGTGAACTGTTAGCATTACTGTTCATACATGACCCTACAGTGTGTGTTGCTTAAGTTGGGACACATGCTTCAGTCTTTGTCTTAAAGTCTTGTATTTCTGACCTTAATGTGATTTTTCTGTATGTTTTTATTAATAAAAAAATGTTTGTCTTTCAGAAAGTTTTCCCTGAAAAGTTTGGTCCCACATTTGATGAAGCACTTCACAGCTTGACGTGGCTGCTTCTGTTTCGACTTGAAAAGCTTCTTCCTCTTCAAACGTTCCAACAGGTTCATACTTAACACAACACATACATCACTTTGATGTCACTTTCAACCATCTTTGAATATCGCTGCTCTATAGAGGCACTACTCTTTTCAATTTTTTCCAGGTTGCCTCCATGTTTGATGAGGCATCCTCTGTTCTGGTGGACTGTATGGAGTCTGTGTCTCAGTATGAGGAGCTCAGAATTGTGCTGCAGTATCAAAAAGACCTCAGCCAACTGGATCACAATGGTACGTCTTTACCTAACTCATGGGTGTATTCAGTTTATCACCCTTGTTTCCAGATGTTATATGTCAACATTGTAATCTCTGAGAGGACATCATCACTCAACTTAATACAGAACTTAGCTTTGGTTCTGTGTAGTATAATTGGTGTCCATAACAAGGGTAATATGTTGTGGTATGAGAACTCATTCATGGAGTAGACAGATGTAACAGTATGAATAACGTTTGCAATCCAAATTACATGGTCTTACTACTCAGATGAGGACTCTTTCCATAAGACAGCTAGTAGTAGCCCCAGTTTTCCTTCTGTCAGTAGTCCCACTGGATATGATTCATTTTGAAACATGTCAGTTACCTTCTCCATGAGCTTGACAAATGAATTACACGTAGCAGTAGGAGTACAGTTATTCCAATGGTGTTTTTCCTTCTTCTTTTCAGATGGTTCCCTGGATGGCGCCTGCATTACTTCAGCGCTCAAACTTCCCTCTGCTAAAACAACTGAGACACAGACAAAACAAGCACAAGCCACCATCTTGGATGATGTGCTGTCATGTACATCAAATTTGGAGGAGGAACGTTTAGCGCTGCCTCTTACAGCACAGTTAAATACTGACACATTAACAGAGCATCACACAATTAAAAAAAAGACTGACAAAACTAATTGGACTCCTGGGGAAAATGAAACCGGGGTAGCTTTTGACGATATTACAAGACGTGAAGAAAATGTTGACCACCTTCAAAGTCAAGCGGATGATGCAGCTGGAGTAAAACAATGCTGTGTTCAGCAATCTTTGCAGCTTCGACCTATTAGACGAAACAGAGGCCTGAGGCTGAAGAAGATTCTCCTGAAAGAGAAAAGAGGACTTTGTGACCGGGCCCTGCCTGTCTGCAAACCTGCGTCTAGAAAAGCAAAATCACCCAGCAGGGCTCCCCAAGAGGTGTCTGATGATGATAATTCAATCCGCTTTGGCAAAGACTCCTCATATATGGCTCCTATCACTAACTGCAGTGAAGACGACTCATGGTCTTACTACTCAGATGAGTACTCTTTCCATAACACCACTAGTGGTAGTCCCAGTATGGCTGATTCATGGTCGGACTACTTGGATGATTCCTCTTCTTTTTCTTCTGTCAGCAGTCCCACTGGATATGATTCAGTTTATAGTTGCCCAAATGAGGACCCTGCTTTTATGGTTCCTAAAGTTTTGTCGGCTCTGAGCAGAAAACAGGGAACAGGCGTCAAAGCTAGCGCCGAAAAGAAAATCCGTCAAGTTTACTGCTTTATCTGCAAGAAGCATGTAGATACAAGCCTGAGGAGTCACATGAAAACACACTTTACTGAGGGCTATTACGCCTGCCCTCGATGCGACAGTAGATTTAAACTCTTCTCATCTTTTAAGATGCACGTGCGCAGAACCTGTTACGAGTATGGTAAGCAGCAGGTCGATCCGGAGAAGCTAGACGAAGCCAAGAATCTTTACAAATGCGACAAATGCCAAGAGGCCTTCAGGTACAAAGTTTCACTGGACAGACACAAACTAACACACGATGAGTTGTACTGCAGTGTGTGTAGGAAGGTGTTACGTGACACAGCGGCTTTGGCGAGGCACAAGATCTCACACACGGCGTTCCAGTGCACCCGTTGTGAGGAGACCTTCACTCTGTTTATGCCCTTAATCAGGCATTATGAAAATATCCATAAAATAAGCAGACCGTTTAAATGCAACCGCTGTCCCAAAACTTTAAACAGGCTGCGCTTTTTAATCCTACACGAGTGGACACATACCGGGCACCTACCATTCCAGTGTGCCCAGTGCAGCTGTAGATTCAAGTCGGACGCAGATCTCATTTACCATGAAAGGGTCCACACGAAAGAGAAACCCTACCTGTGTCCGGAGTGCGGCAAGACTTTCTCCCAGAATTCCAATCTGTTGCGGCACTTGAATCTCATCCATGGCGAGGGTCAAAAGGATAAGAGACATTCGTGCTCCCAGTGTGAGAAATCCTTTAAAGAGAAAGGGGCCCTGAAAAAGCACCAGAGGAGCAAACACTTAAACGAACTATTCCGTCATCCGTGTCCATACTGTGGAAAGATGGTCTCCAAGTCGACACTCGCTAGACATAAATTAATCCATACCGGAGAGAGGCCTTTTAAATGCACGGTGCCTGAATGTGACAAGTTCTTCAGGTCAACTTCTGAAGTGAAGAAGCATGTCCTTATACAACATACGACAGAGAGACCATATAAATGTGATGTATGTGGAAAGGGCTTTGTAAAAATGTGTTTTCTCAGAGCACACGCTAGAATACACTCAGGAGAAAAGCCGTTTGTTTGCCACATCTGCGGAAAGGCTTTCCCTAAGCTCTACAGCATGCAGCGACACAAAAAGCTAATACATACATTTGTACCACATTAACCCTGCATTATAGTTACGCTCAGTAAAACAGTGGTATGCTAAGAGAATGTTTCCAACCAACAGAAGTTTTCAGACAATTTTATGGTGTTTGCACTGGATGCAAGATTGAACGATGTTGGAATGCATTTCTGTGTTGTAATAAAACTGCACCAAAGGAGTAATACACTTTGAGCTTTGCACTCTTATCACCTTATCAGACCTATAAAGTCAGTTTTCTCACTTCACTCTGCACCATTGACTGTTTATTAAAAGCTCTGCACACAGTGTCCAGCACACAAACAATAAAAAGTGAAAAGTATATTAAAGAACTGTTTGAGTATTGCCTTTATTAAGATGAGTTAAGATGATCCTACCACAGCACAAGAGAACATGCGAGTTTAGAACGGGCACTGCACTAGTAATAA